CTTCCTTGGCAGAACAGGTACTTCTTTTCCCGGTTGAGGTCAGGTCAAGATGCAGATCTATTGGTGAAGCAGTAGGGACCGTGTCGTCAGCTCTCACAAAACACAATGTCGTCTATCCCAGGACACAAAACATCGTAAATTTATGTGAAGGCCACAGACACGCTCCACTTCAAGTCTGTGCAAGGGACACCTACAAAGCCAGTGCCTGGGTCCTTTGGTTCCTGGCTCTCAGGTCTCACTGTGCTGTGACTCCGAGCAGTGCCCTGTCTTTATTCACCCCCACCCCATCCCAACATCTGCTTTGGAAGAACCTCTTGACCGAGGTTGAGTCAGGATGTGGCGCTTCCATCAGAGATCAAGGTTACACGGGGCTTGTTCGCCTGGCTGTAGTGTGGGAGCCCAGTGAACACGGCCCGTGCATCCTACGAGTGTGGATACAGTAGACCTTTTTCAGGTCTTAATCTAATGCTTTTCAGGTCTTAATCTAACGCTGCTTTGGCAAAGGTATGACCAGCAGCAGCTGTGAAGCTGTCTCCTGTTGTGGACAGCTGACTCCAGTGATACCCTCACCCATTTTCCTATGCTGTAGCCAGGCCCGTGGCTTCCCTCCTTTCCTTTGAGAGCAAGACAGCTCTTCACCCCAGCCGTAGATCTGTTCTGCCTGGGTTGGCTCTCAGAAGTTCTCTCCTCTCCTGCAGCGCGCTCTGGGACATTGAGACGGGGCAACAGAAGACTGTGTTCCTGGGTCACACCGGAGACTGTATGAGCTTGGCCGTCTCCCCAGACTTCAAACTCTTCATCTCTGGGGCCTGTGACGCTACTGCCAAACTGTGGGACGTGCGGGAGGGCACCTGCCGTCAGACCTTCTCAGGGCACGAGTCCGATATCAACGCCATCTGCGTATGTATGCCGTCCGCACGATGGTGGGGAGGCAAGGAAAAGGGAGGGCGGAGCACCTCTGAAATAGGGTCTTGGGACAAGGTTGGGTGAAAGAAGCTGTCACAGTCATGTGGGCAACAAGGGTCTCAGGGGACCTTGGCCCCATGATCCAGCCTAAAGCAGGGAGGGCCTGAGTTCGCTGAAGTTTGGAGGCTGGCTCTTCCCAGGCACCGGGGCACCAAAGCAGCTAGGTCTGACAGCCGTTCTCAGAGCGCTGCTTGGACCCAGCCAGCACGCCGTGGTCTGTGGAGCTCAGCACCCTAACACAGTTAACGTGTGTTAACCGTGACAAAAGTTCAGGCATGCTCCAGGAGCCCCGGCACAAAACACGAGTGAGGCAGCAGGACCTAGCTCGGCTGAGGGTCAGCTCTAGACAGCAGAGGTGGTCACTTGGGACCACAGGGAGATCATCTGAAGATGAAATCTTCACAGGAGGCAGGTCAGACATTTGGGGGCAAGTATCCCTCTCAGAGGCAAGGATTCGAACCAAAGCCCTAGAGGTGACAGGACAAGAAACTTGTCAGTTTAATCCCTTTCCGCTAACCAAATGATCTCCCAGCTTCCTGCAATGTCTGCTGCTTGAGACACCCTCCACTGACATCAAATTAGTACAGCCTTTCTCACCTCTCCCATGGCTCCCCTGCCAGCGATATGGCTTTCTGCCACACCTACTCCTGAGGTGTGTCCCCTTTTTTGCTCCTCAGAGCGAGGACACACAAAAGGAGTGTGTATGAGAAGGCTGGGCTGTGAGGATCAGACAGAGGAAGGCTCTCGTAGCGCTGAACCATGCCAGACCCCATCTGGGGGATATTGGGTGAACACTTGTCAAACCCTGAGCCAACAGCTAGCGTTAGAGACGATAATCCTTCCTCAAGCACTGGGACGTCTTGCAATAGCTCTAGCCCCTCGGCCATTGGTTTTCTTGAAGTGGAAGGGGGCCACTTGGTCTTAGGAGAAGCATCAGTCTCACCCTCCAGCAGACTCAACTTTTACGATCCAGTGTCTTGTCCCACTGGGTTTTCCTACCTCCGTGGTTAGCAGGGAGGTGAAGATGTCGAGGAGATCTGTAAGGCACAGCCTGATTAAAAATCTGGTGTGTGCCCTCCTCAGTTCTTCCCTAACGGTGAAGCCATCTGCACCGGCTCAGATGATGCCACCTGCCGTCTCTTTGACCTCCGGGCAGACCAGGAGCTCATCGTGTACTCTCACGAGAGCATCATCTGCGGAATCACATCAGTCGCCTTCTCCCGCAGCGGGCGCCTCTTGCTTGCTGGATACGACGACTTCAACTGCAACATCTGGGACTCCCTGAAAGCAGAGCGTGTGGGTGAGTGGCTCCTGGAGGTCCCTCTCCCATTCCCTGCAAGGTCTTCTGTCCCTACCAAGGCAAGGAAAAGGTCCTTATTTTTTCTAAAAGGGACACATCCCATACTGACTGAAACCCAACAAAGCTTCCTCGCACTTAAGGAGCACACCATAAGTAGTACAACTATCTTTTGTGTAGAAGAGCGATTGTTTTTAATGTTAAGGAAGTCAAAGCTTTAAACAACATTATTTCCAGGGGTAAAAGAGCATTAAGGTGCCTGTTAGCTAAAACTGCTCACAAGCACCAGTAGTATTTCCTACTTTCTCCTCTCTTTGCCGTTTGCCAGTTCCAGCTACTCACAGTGCCTCTTGGTGGCCAGGCACTGAGCTGGGCACAGATCTGGGCTTCCATCCAACATCTTTGGATGCTCTGTGATGCTCATACACAGGATACACCCCAAGTGCCATTTTTCTTTCAGATGTGGCCCCTAGCCTCTGAAAATTGACAACGCAGCCCACCAACGGCATTGCTATTTCTCAGTCTTATCAAGGACGCCATCCTTTCTTAGTCCTGCTATCGCTCCAGGGTGAAAGCAGTTGTATGAGGATTCAGCTAGCCAGACCTTCCCAAGCACGTTGCTCTTTGGCCAGTCCCCATGGGTGGTGGTTGTCCCCCACGCACTAGTGTTCTCCTGCACGTTTTTTTCTTATTAGCCACATACTGACCGTAACACGTTGTGCGGGAACAGCCATCGTGATACGCAGGGGTGTAGGTACAAAGCCTATGATGAGTGTCCTCAGCGTGGTCAACCCCTTCATCTCTCCCAGGCCCCGTTTCTTTTCCCGACCTCTCTTCTTTCTCCCCGTAGGAATCCTTTCTGGCCATGACAACAGAGTGAGCTGCCTGGGGGTGACAGCAGACGGCATGGCCGTTGCCACCGGCTCCTGGGACAGCTTCCTCAAGATTTGGAACTGAGGACGGCAGCAGAGAGGGAAAGAAGGAAGCACGGCCCGCAGCCCAAGCCCATGCAAACAGCATCGTCAGCTGACCACAACAGAAACGCCTACCTACCACTCCCGCTTGTCTCTAGACACAGGTCACTTGTAGGGGTCTCCCAGAGTGAAAGGGAAAGGAGAGGTTGGGGAGCAGGAGGAGCTGGGGAGCAGGAGCACACACACTGGCCCTCCTCTCCACCTCTAAACAGGCCCGGCAGTTTCCAGCCTCATGCAGGCTTGAAGACCTGCAAACCACTGTTGGTTATGTCTCAGGACTTTACAGTACAGTTCGGACACCCTGCGTCTTCCTTCAAACACCTCTACCCACGTTGACACCCATCCTTCAGAGGACCCCTCATGCAACAGCTCCGGCCCAGGCTAAGCTCTGTCCCTGATTTAACTCTACCTAGCTTCTCTGTGCAGCTGTCCTAGATCCCTGCAGACAGCCTCAGAGATGTACTGGGTTTGAGATTTCTGTCACATGACATCAAACAAAAAGGTAGTGTCAATTGGGCTCATTTTCCATCAGGGAAGACTTAGCTCAAGTTTTATCTATGCATAAATGGGGGAAAGGTAGCCCTCAGACCTGCCTGAATACCAAGGAATATTATATTTCTTCTTATTTATTGTCTGCTTCTTGCTGTTCCTTCTCTTTTTGCCTCACTCCTGCGTTGTGTGGTGACCCTGTCTAACCAGTAGGCATCAGCCCCTGTTTTCAAGTCTGTTCTAGATCATCATAGCCTAGGCTAATAAAGAAAGCTCACATAAGCGCTGCAGGCTGTGTTCTTTCCAGCATTGCTACGAGCTACCTGCAAACATCTCTCCTCCTGTGAACACTGCCCACTGACCCCATCCAGAGAAGACCTCATCCACAGGCCTCGCTCCAGCTCAAAGTCCCCAGGGGATGGTGTTCCCCACCTCTATTTGAGTAGAGAAGAGGCTGCTAGTGCCAAGGCTTGCTGCCCTAGAGTTGGGCTAGAGAGCTGAAACTGCATCCTTGCAAAACTTGGGGATCAGAGCTCAACTACAGGACACAGCTGTTGTATTCAGCCCCTATTCCACTTGTTGGCTCATAGCCACATTCCAGGGTCCCAAGGCTCTGCTAGGGACAGTTGAAGGTCAACAAGGTGTAGCATCTTATCAACAGAAGGTCAAGATATTAACGCACAACGCTATCTCATCCTATTTTGGATCTCGCCCTCATGCCAGACCCTTGCAATTGGCTACAGTCCTCTGTGTGTGTTAGTACATACACTACATACATCGGTCTCCTGCACAGAGCTGCCAATCCCCGACGCACTCTGTAGCACCTAAGTTCAAGGTCAGACCCTTCTCAGCCCAGCTCTATGGTGGCACATTACAGTCAGGAGACAGAGGTTTAGGGCTAATGGAAGGCTGAGCTATTCGTTCCTGAATCCTTGTCCCTAAAGAAAACATCGCGCTAGGCAAGCAAGGGACTCCTACTGTCCTAGCAGGACATAGATACAGTCAAAGGTTTAATACAAATTTATTTGCTACAGATAAGAACTCTACAGTAAGTCAATACAGCTGATACACAACAGAAGAGCCAACGCCTGTACTGTACATAAGACACGCAAAGCTAGGAGAGAGAGAGTGAGCTCTTTCCCCTTTCCCCAACAGGGACAGGTGAGAAGAGTGACCACAAACCTGGAGTTTCAGCCTGTTGCAGGATTTCTCACCCCTAGGAGCCTCTCAAAACGTAGAGGCAAGTTACAGCAAGATCCTGGGAAAGGAAATCTCTAGTTCTCCACAAAAGGACACTGTTGGTTCTCTTTGTCCAAGTTACTCCAAGCACAGTTCCCAGATTTGAGGCTCCTGCTCAGATCCACCGTTACCTCCTTCTTCTCCCCGAGGTTCTCTCCCAACACGTGCCTCTTACCCTGGAGAAATCAAAAAACCCCAAACATACAGTGTAAAACACAAGTTAACGGAGGGTTAGTTAATTCTCGGTGGAACACATCACCCATTTTGAGGCCATTCAGCTTTGGCCCTCTTGCGATAACGTCTAAGAGTGACAGACCTCTTTCTACAGCCTAAAGAGAAAAAGAATGCACCGAAACGGGCAATATCATGGTAAGGCCAAAGACACAGCCGTTGAAGAAGCCTTGGAGGCACCTAGGGACAAGACTGACCCACAGGAAAATACTTATGAGGTCACCAGGCTCTACAGGCCTAGGAGGCCACAGTTCCAAACTGGGGCCCTACAAAATACAGAAATTGAAGGATTTTGGGGGTTCTTTTCAGCCCATTCTCCCTCCCACAGGACGACTCACTAAGCTTTACCTGGCGAGGGGCAGGAGCACTGGGGGAATTATCATCTTGTAGGATGCTGAGGGGAGAGCGGCCGGTTCCACCAGGTGTTGCCATGATTTTGTTGTTGGTCTTGCGTCTTACAGGCTTGCTCCCTAGTGACAGAAGGAAGCACGTCAGTCGACGGCAACAAGGCTAGTGGGTCCTGGATTTTAAATGCCTCCTGGCCTTTACAGTCTAGCTTGCTTGCCTGCACAGCAAAGACTGTTAACCCAAGGACTTCCAGGTGAAGGGTTCACAGAAAGGTTGGGGTTGGAAGGGACCTCTGGTCCAACCCCCTGCTCCAACAGGGCCACCTAGAGCCAGTTGCCCAGATGGCTTTTGAATATCTCCAAGAATGGAGACTGCAACCTCTCTGGGCAACCTGCTCCAGTGCTCAGTCATCCTCACAGAGAAGAAAAGTGTTTCCTGATGGTCATAGAATCACTTAGGTTGGAAAAGACCTTTAAGATCATTGAGTCCAACTGTTAACCCAGAACTGCCAAGCCCACCGCTAAACCATGTCCCTCAGCACCACATCTCCCCGGCTTTTAAATCCCTCCAGGGATGGGGACTCAGCCCCTGCCCTGGGCAGCCTGGGCCAGGGCCTGACAGCCCTTTCGGGGAAGAAGTTTTTCCTAATATCCAACCTAAACCTGCCCTGGCGCAGCTTGAGGCTGTTTCAGATGGAGCCTCCCATGTTCCAGTTTGTGCCCGTTGCCTCCGGTCCTGTCCCCAGGCCCCACTGAAAAGAGCCTGGCTCTCCATTCCTTATACCCTCCCTTCAGGTATTTATACACTTTTATAAGATCCCCCCTGAGCCTTCTCTTCTCCAGGCTGAAGAGTCCCAGCTCTCAGCCTCTCCTCATAGGAGGAACGCTCAGCACGGGGCTTTCTGAAGGACGGTCTCCATTAAAGACCCTCGGCGCCCCTCTGTCCTCCCGCCCTCGCTCCCCAGCTCTTCCCAAGGAGAAACCGCAAGGTCCCTGTGGCCAGGCCTCTGCGAGGACAGACCTGTCTCGGAGAGGAGCGGAGCTGACATTTACCTCTCAGAGAGGCACATTGACCTCTTGATTTTGACCACAGATTGCAAACATCATTTTTCGATACCTGACCGACGCAAGAAGAGCCCCCACAGGGGCTGCCCACCTGCAGAGCCCCGAGGCCAGGCTACCCGAGGTGGCGGGAGACGGACGAGGCCTCTGTCAGCAAACGAGCCTGGAGGAGCCTCACGGGCCGGAGGGTGCCGGGGGCCCGCACCCGCTGCGTGCGGGGGGGAGGGCGGCCTCTCCGCCGCTTCCTCCGGGGGGGCGGCAGCCTCCGGGCCACCGGAGGGCGGGGAGCTCCGCTGGGCCGTGGCCTCGGTCCCGAAGGCCTCGCTGAGCTGCTTCACCAGGCGGTCCACGCTGTCTGCCGGGGAGGGAAGGAGGGAGGGAGGGAGGACGGGGTGAGCCGCCGGGCCGGGCAGCCCCCCACCCACCCACCCGGGGCGGCCTCACTCACCACTCGACACGGCTCTCATGGGCGTGCGGGAGATGCCGGGCGTGGG